AGGACCGGGAGGACCTTGCATTCGTCGACGCAATCTCCACGATGAAAAGCAATCAATATCAAATAGTTCAGTATGCTATGGCCGTGGAGCCGTGCATCAATGCTGCGCTACATTTTCAAGCAGGAGCCACCTGGAAACACGACTGCGGCATGCGCTGTGTCGTCCGACACATGCAGCGGATCTGTGCGAAGCGATCTGGACAGCGCATCGAGCATCGAAATACGGCGGGTTCGTGTCGTGTCGACCCTGGCGTTGGTTCCTGACACCGCGGGAATCCTTCAACCTTGAACGATCGGCCGTTTCCGAAACGTCAAATCGTTCAACATCGACCGATTCTGGGTCGCCGGCAGCGTTCCACGTTGAACGCCGGCGGCGGGATCGCCGCCGGTCGACACGACGCGAACCTACCGTACAAGTGACGATTTGGGCGGGGGGGGCAATAACAGGGGATATGGCGACACCAATCCCCGACTTTTGGTGTTTTCGACTGGACCAGAAATTGTGGGCCCAACCATGGGATACACGATGGGGGAGCGTCCATCCTCGATCCGTAGAGTTGCATCCGAATAGCCCCCCTGGGGGGTGTATCCCAGAGTTCCCCCCCCTTCTCTGAGCGGCCAAACTGTTCGGGCGGAACCAGGGGGTTGGGGGAGAAGCATCGTCTGCGATGGTCGCCGTCAATCTCGGCCAGCGCCAATTCGCGGACCATTCTCGCGAATGGGCGACGGCCCGCCTGAACCGTGGCCGAGACCGGCGCCGACCAGACCCCGCGACATCTTGGCCATGGCCATCGTGCTTCTTCCCTCGACCTGCGGATGCCGGCACCGCCGACCCACGCGAGGCTGGCCCAGCCTGTCCTCCGCCAGGTGCCCGCCTTGCTGCCTGACCCCGGCCGATATGTGGCCGTCGGGGAGAGCTCGTGCTTCGTAGGTCCCAGTGCCATCTTCCATCTCTCATCCCGCCGCTCCCCATCATTCCTCTCTCTCTCTCCCTCCACTCTGGGGGAGGAGGGGGAAATAGGACACCGATACCGCTCCTCCCCGGACCTCTCCCAGGGCGCCGTCTGACCAGGACCTCGAGGAGAACCTGTGGTCGTGGCGTCAGGAGGTCCAAAAAGGCCAAGTCGAGGGGAAAAGGTGGCGGCATCGGCACCTTCCCATACATGCGACGTCTTGATGTTTTTGTTCATCTAGGGCCGGTGTTCCATCCCGGGTAGATCTTGACGGTTTCTCGGCGGTGGGCAAACCTCCCTTTAGTAAACCTCCCCTTAGTGAAAACGGCCTGTGACCGAAACCGACGGACCTGGACCCGCAAAAATGACGGCCGCGACGCCCTCTCGCGAACCGAAAACGGCCGATTCCTTAGCCGACGTGTCAGGTCGGGAGGTCTATCCACCTCCGATTTTTTCCCTCTAGGGCTAGGGTTAGGTCGGGCCTGTCCCCTTACAGGGGGATCTTGGACGAAAAATTAAAAATAGTCAACAAAAGATTCAGACATGCTCAAAAATATACACAAAACATCGTCCCCTGACGATTTGTTTGAACCATTTTGAATGTTCCCCATGTAGAGGGGCAGGCCCGACTGAACTCCAGGGCCGGTGTTTGCCAGGCAGTTCTTGGCGGTTTCGGGGCCTGGGGAGGGCCTTCGGAGGCCGGCCAGCGGAGCAGCGCGGAATTGTTCACGGCGCGGGCACGTCTGGCGCGTTCCTCCCCCCCTCCCCCCAGCCGGCGGCTCGCCGGGGGCGCGGCAACGGAGCAGCGTGCACTTGTTCACGGCGCGGGCACGTCTGGCGCGTTCCTCCCCCCCTCCCCCCGGCCGGCGGCTCGCCGGGGGGCGGCCTGGTGAACTCGGCGTGCGCAGCCTCCACGGCGTCCGCCTCGTTCTGCGGCTGGCGCCGCAGCCTCCCCTTGATCTTCTCGTTCGCGGGCGAGGAGGTCCACACCTCGGGGGCTCCGTGCTCTCTCTCTCTCTCTCTCTCTCTCTCTCTATCCATCTCTCTCTCTCTTTCTCTCCCTCTCTCTCTCTCTCTCTCTCCCTCTCTCTCTCTCTCTCTCTCTCTCTCTCTCTCTCTCTCTCTCTCTCTATATATATATAGATGTGTGTATCGGGTAACGTTCGGATGTCATTTCCTAACGTCGGGAGAACGTTCGGGAATCGTAGTGGGGATCCCTACCCCAAGGAACGATTCCCTAATTTATGTTGACGTTAGGGAACAATTCCCTGGCCCTATTTTGCTTTGCTGCTCGTAGCCACCAAGAGGCGCGGGAGGCAGGAGAGACGAGAGCGGAGACCAGGATGGAGGAAGGGGGTGGAGGAGGGTAAGAGGACGGGAGGACGGAGACAGAGGGGGAAGGAGAAGGAAAGAGGAGGGATGAGGGATGATTATGCTGCGCTCTCGATGCGCGGTGACCATCCGCTCGGCAATGAGAATCACGTACGCAGAGCGGGAGTTGAGGTGCGATGTGTCTACGCCAGAGGGGCCTAGCAAGCGTCCAGAACGTACGGCTGGTTCGTGCCGTGACGACCTCGGCGGCTGGCCTCTGACTACCGACCAAACCACCCCAACCCAAGCCGAAGACCCGAATTCCGCCCGAATTTTGGGTGGGGGGGGTACGGGCTTCATGTGTATGTTTTTTCCATGTTCCCCGAATCCCCCCCCCCACTGGAAATGGAGGGCAAGTCAGGGCCTTCGGGTTGGGTTGGGGTGGTTTGGTGGGCGGTGAGCTTCTGACACCGCGTGGATCTTTCGACCCAGAGCGATCCCGGCCGCCCGGCAGCGCAGGCCGGGCCGAGCTTCTGGGCCCTGGCGGCGCTCGCGGGAAGAGGCTCCGCCCCACCGACCCCGGCTGGGCCGACCCTGGGCCCAAGCCTGCTGCGGATACAGTCGGGGCGTTGACCTAATAAGGAACGAGGCCCCTTTTTTCCATAAGTTAACCTTCGATTTCCTGTCGAAAACATAAGGAAAGCCTGAGGCAAGCTGTGAAACACTTAAGGAACGCGGAGCCCCTCCCCAACGAAAAGGGTTCCTTCTTCAGGGCCCCGACTGTACCTCCCTCGCCAAGCTCGGGGGATCTCCTGACCCAGGTCCATCAAGACCCGGGCCTGTCAGGCCCTGCAGGATCCTGCAAGCTCCTGCAGGATCTTGCAGGGTCCTGCACGCTGACCCCTGTCAGTGCACCCCTGTCAGGCGAGGCCTCCCCGACCCCCAGTAAACCATCCCCTTCCGCGACGTCATCCTCGCCTCTTAAGCTTCCCCTCTGCCGCATGCATACTTCTTAGGGCGAGGCGAGGGGGACGTCACGGAAGGGGATGGTCTGCTAGGGGTCGGTCAGGCCGCCCCCTGACCCTGGCTCTGCAGCATCCTGCAAGATCCGGCGCTCTGGCGGAGCCATGTTTTTGCCATGGACCTCCGCCCCTGGAGCCCCGCAACGCTAGGAGATGGCAGGCACCAGACCTGGGCCCAAGATCGGGACCGGTGCGGTGGATAGCTGACGTCCTCTGAGAGTGAGATCGGGGGCGACGTTAGGGGAGGATACCGCGGGTTCGTGTCGTGTCGACCCCAGCGTTGGTTCCTGACACCGCGGGGGTCGTTCAACCTTGAACGATCAGCAGTTTCCAAGTGTCTAATCGTTTAACATCGGCCGATTCTGAGCCTCCGGCGGCGTTCAACGTTGAACGCAAGCGACGGGTCGCCGCCAGTCGACACGACGCGAGAACCTACCGTAGGCTCAGAAAGGGATGCATCGACCCTAATCGCACGTTCATCGCAGAAGAAGGGCCTCATAGCCAATCCCCGCCTGGGACCAATGTATCGGCAATGTATTCCCGATTCCAAATCGATATTGGGGAAATGAAAGGAAACCGACGCCGCCACTTCCCGGACCGCTCCCAGCTTGCGTTTTGACCAGAATTCCGAAGAGAGTCCAGCCGTGGACGCCCACAAAGGCGGGACACGAAAGAAGGGTAAAGAAGGGAGGCTGCCCCCCCGTCCCCCCCAGTATATATGTTCTATCGATATATCTATATATATATATATGTCTATATATATACACCTACCTACCTATCTATCTCTCTATCTATATCTATATATATATATATATGTATCTAGCAATATATATATATATACACATATATATATATACGGTTCAAGGCAGAGCGGTGATGCCTGTACAAAGCGGGATTGAAAGAGCAGGACGAGAGCAAGCAGGAAAACGGAAGGCGAAGATCCTCGTGAAAAAAAACGCTGGGATGATAACACTAGCCCAGCACGGTCCAGGCCCCACCCCCCCAGCCGCCGCCAGACCCCGGGCAGCAACAGGGGGGACGAGGGAGAGAGAAGGGGGGGACGGGGACAGACCGAAACGAATCCCACCCCAACCCATACCACAGGAGAGGGGAAGGCGAGGGGAAGCGCCTTTCCGGTGACGGCGTCGAGCAGCTGGTCTCGCAGCTGGCGCACGCAGGTCTCGGCAGAGGCGTCCAGCACAGCCACCTCTCGGGCTCGGCCGGCGAACGCGAATCTGGTGATGGCCCAGGAGGGTGCGCCAGGGCGCGCCACGACCTTAGAGGCCCTGGAAACGAAAAGGCCGGTTTTTTACCGGTTCCGTTTTGCCGTTTTTCTGCCGATTCCGACGCCGTGTTTTCACCAGTTCCGTCACCGTTTTTTGGCCAGTTCTGGCTCCGGTCTCAATCCTGTAGCCCTTGTTTTGCCTTTTCCGGTCGCCGTTCTTTTGCCGTTTCCATTTTCAAGGGACATTTGTTTGGAAAGGGTAAAAAACGGCCCAGCCGTTTCCGGGGCCCACAAAAGCCACGACCCTTGGCCAAAATAGAGGCAGGAAAAACTGCAGAAACATACACTTTTGGCGCTCCGCGCGGAGTTCTTGGATCTGCGCTGGGAACCCCCATCCCTGGCGCGCGGAGCGCGTCAGGGGCGGCGCCGGAGGCGCCGCCTGGGGGTGGGGGGGGGGGGGGGGGCCAGGCGCCGACAAAAGCCGCTGGAC